CGAACCAACCTCGGTGAGGGATCAGGTTTATATTAAACAGGTTACGTAATACCTTAGTGACAAAGATATTCTGTAAACTCCAGTGTTGCCTACTCCCTAACACCATCCAAATGAACCTTGTAAATAAAGAGAGAAAGGCTCACTGGCATCACATCTGGCACATCTGCTGTTCTCATAGTCCAATTCTTTACCACAGCAGTCTCATATTGCTGGAAAGCCTTGAAAGCTTCTGACTTCTTCCACAAAAAATAAACAATAGCAAAAGGAGTGGAATTATTGATAAAGATGATATAATACTGACTGCCAGAGAGTGATGAAGTAGGAATCCAACTAGACAAATCGTGGTGAATCAACTTCAGATGTTAGGTAGAGTGAGACCTTATAGGCAGAGGTGTAAATTACTTCCCAGGCTGCTTCCCAAACTACTAGTCAACACAATTGCATCTACCCATACAGCGAGTAGGCATTCCTGAATACCACTTAGTAACCCCTTTTATAGCCGCTAGCCTAAGATGTGCAAATCACATGCGCTATAAGAGAAATGACATTGAAACAGAAGTATGTTAAGTTATCAGAAAGGGTGGCTTATTGACAGTACTCTCGGATATATCTTTACTGACTAGCAACAGCAGGGATAAATGGTCAACCTCTGAAGCCAGTCCAGTAATCCTACCCTGAGGTCCAAACTCCCACAAGTACAACTCATAGTCTTTAACATACATGACATGTATTCCTGCCTTTCCAAGCTAGGCATGGGATATCAATGTCATTCCAAGCAATATGACATGTAGAACATTGCAAATGGTCACCTGTATAACCCACAAATACTAATAACCTTAAACTAATCTTGCCAACTCCTTCCACCTCAACCAAGTGATTATCTGCTACTTCAATATGAGACTCTACATTTTCAAGCGCCTTACATTCTATACACAATGACCTATCCGAAGTCATATGCCTTGAACACCCAGTATCAATAAAGTAACTTGATTCCTTTCTTGTACTTTCATCATCTTCCTTCTTTCTGTGTAGTACCCTAACAACTAACCATGCCCTAGCTCCTTGGTGATTTGGGACAGCAGCATAGCTTGTCTTGTACAAAGGTGAAACTTCTTCTTGCTTATTACTTGCATTGTGGGAACTTCAATCGCCTTGATAAGCTCCTCCTTCAGATCTTTGACAAACTGTCTTTGAGTGTCCTTTCTAGTCGCAATTAAAATGCACGATATCCGCATCCTGGGATTCTTTTTTGTCATCCTTCCTGTCCCTCTTTCCTTCACTACCTTATCCTACTCTCAGATTCGGGCTAGCAGAAACTCTTCTCTCATCCAGGAGATGAAATTTCTTGGCTGATACCCCATTAATAAATAGGGCAGCATTAGTGGACATCACAAGTGTCATCTGTACCTTGGTCCTAATAATAGTCTTAACTAAGTTCCATTCCTCAGGAATCCCTTGCATCACCGCAGTAATGTTCTTCTCCTCAGAAACTGGTGAACCCTGAATCAACACCAAATCAGCACACAATGCCTCAATCTGTAGGAAGTAAGCCCCAACAATGCCGTACTTCTTCAAGGATATCTACTCCAACAGGCCTCTGATATTTCTTCCATGTTCCTTCTCTAAGTCCTTATACTTAGTACCAATTGTTTCCTATTAAATAGCGGGATCATTGATTGACTAGTATTTCATACTAACTCCTGCAAAATATGCAAGTGAATTGTTCCTGTAGTTCAAAAGTAGTGCATCCAGTAATTGCGAATCTTTGTTTCAATTGCACTCTTAGCAGTTCCTGAATCTGTATCTTCTAGTAGCAAAGACTTTACGTCCTACCAGGCAACAATACATTAAATACCATCTCTCTGTAGTGTGGACTTCATCTACACTGAACACATTTGGTAGTTGGTCTTGGTAAGCTTCTCGAAGCTCAACTAGTTGTACCAGAGTGATGTACAAAACAAGAGATTCAATCACCCTATGTAGTTTTTGCCTGACAAACAATCTAGTAACTTCTTCTGAAGTTCCACGTAATAAGTTACTTTCAACATAGTATAACGTGGCTTTATAGCAGGATAACTCTTATCCAAAGGTAGGGTAACTCTATCTGGACTTACCGTTAAGTAATTTATAGTAACTCACAAGTTAACTACCTAGGTCAACCTACCCAATAGGGTAATCACAGCTTCTTACTAGTATCTATATACTTCTTAGAATAGTATAGCATATCTGACTGAGGTACCTAACTAACCTTGACTCTACTCAGTAGACTCCAGTCTACCACCATTCCTACACACTTAGTCACTAGACACCAGTCTGGGTATATGTTTGACTAACTGTAACAGTATACTCTGTTATCTCGTTATAGTTGAAACAGCTCTTAAGCCTTTCTCTTTTATGTCCCAAAGCCTACAATCCATAGAAACATTATCAATTGTTCTTCAATTGATATATAGCATATTGATAATAACAGACCACATTCTGCAATCCTATCCCAAAGATCCACAAAAGTTGAAATGGCCTTTTAAATAATTTTAATTACGTGTCTTAGATGAGCATGCAGTACTCTAACTGTAAATTGGTACCCAGTACCTCTTGAGGTACCTACTTGCAGATTCAGAAGAATGAAATGGAAATCAATTATAGTACCAATAGCTATTGGAATTTGTCTCTGAACAATTGCTGCATTAATTACTCTTATATTAGTATTACTGGCCATTAGATTACTGGAAATATTTGCTTATAGTAGATGTAGTTCAAGATATCATATATATTAAATTTTAAAGCAAATTATTCTACAAGACAACTTTTCACCTGGGTTGTTGGAAAACTTCTCATGCGATCTTTCTCCATAGCAACTATCTTACTACCACTTTGAAATGGAAGAGACATGCTACCAAATGGCCTTTTAGTACCAACTATTTTGCAAAAGAAGGAAATAGTTGTTTGTTTAGGACAATGAAAAGGAACCATTTCATGCAAACAGGCTCTTATCTTCTTTCAAGCTTTCTTAACTACACTCACTTCAACATCCCAAGTTGCCTCTTGTGCTAGGATATGAACTTTGACTGCAGGATCTTTTAGAACAGTTCTTTCTAAATGGCTGAATCTATATGTATCCAATTGGTGAGGACAGCTAGGTTTTGTTAGGTCATTGTAGGTACTATACTTCAAATAATGGCTGCTGATATTTCAGATAGTATTTTTCTTTTCTCCAGTCTCCTCCAACATCTGCCTCTAAGACTTCTGTCTTATACACAGGGATATTATACTGAACCTCTCCTTTCAACAATTCAGGTATTTTTTTGGGGGGTCCCAATGTTGGCATGGTGGGTGTGGGTTGTGTCATACAGCATTCTTGTATTCTACACTGTCCATAAAACAATTATTACCGGAGGTGCTAAGATTTTCTACCTAGTAGTTTGTACGTCCACGACATCCCTTTCCGAACCTCGTCGGAAAATCCGACGCTTTTCGGAACAGCGCCCCACACTCTGTCCTCCTTGCCCTCATTCCCACACTTCTCACCTACCGTACCAAGTTGCCAGCGGCTGCGAACGAACTGACATCAAACACCCCACCAACGAATACACCCCACCAAATTCCGCTCGCACTCCACTCCACGTTTTGCGTCCAACCAACCATGAGCACAGCAGCAGCTCCCCCCACTTCCATTGCCATTCTTGAAAAGCTGTCCGCGCTCAGGGAGGGCCTGATAGAGCTGAAGCAGGACCGTACAACATACGTGAAATCACATGACGTCGTCAGGCACTACGATGAGCTCTGCGAAGGTATTTGGAAGATTTACGATGTCGAGGAATTCGAGAAGGGCTTTAATGCGAAGGAGGATTTATCGGAGGGGCAGATTATAGGTACATGGCCTTTTCTCACCTAGGCCTTCATCATTGATTGACGTGTGAATGGCCAGAACGCGATTTGGCAGAAGATTGCTTTATGTTGATTTCACTGCTCTTCCTCACCGTCGGGAGGAATAATGAGCCTCCAGCTGTGTACGTGCACCTCGTCGGCTGGTACCTTATACACGCACTGATGGGATTTGAAGTTATGCTCCAAGCGTGATTATCAAAGTAAGAAATCTCCGATCTACACACCCGAGCATGTGGGCTAACTTTCTTTTTTGTCGAAAAGCGTCTTTTAGAACACCTCGCCGAGTCCGCCCATTATTCCCAGAAGGACCTCGAACCGATAGAGCAGAAACTTAATAATATGCATGCAAATGTCGAGCAGGGCGGCCCACTTTACAATCCGTTAATACTTGCCATGCTCCGCGTCAAGATTGTCGCTTGCCAGCAGTCCCTGAGGGTGCTCAAAACAGCGCTAGGTTCCATTCCTCCAGAAATAGCTCATGTGCATCAGAGGCTGGTGAGCATGAGACGGTGCATTAGAGCTTGTGAGGCTAAGCCTAAGGTAGGTGCTGCTAGAGATCATCCCAGCCATCGCTAATTATTTGTGATTGGGTTGGCCAGTTCTCTGAAACAGAGGTTATGGGATATCTGGCGACGGTTAAGGAGATCGATGCCACCCGGCTTGATGGAAAGTTTGTGGCGGAGGATGGTTCTATCCCTTCCGAAGGACAGGAAATTCTCGATGGGCTCTTGCAAACTTGTTACTCCATCATTGATGGAGCTCTAAAGAGGTTCGATATGAGTTATGAGCAATTAATGGGCGGAGGGATTCTGCTAACAATATATGAGCTATCAGACAGGGAGCGATAGCACCAGGTCTCAAGCCGTTGGCTGAGAAATTGATGCAGACCAAGTCCCAATTGGAGAAACTAGAATTGACCCAGGCGTGGTCGCTGCGGGAAACTGATCTCTACGACTTCTACAAGTTAGTTACAAGAATCGACGAGTCAAGGGGGGACGGGAAGTTCCTGGATACTGAAGGCAACACGCCAGAGGAAGGACAGACTGTACGCCACATGCCGCCCGTTTCATTGATCAGGAGTTGCGGTTCTAACGTGAGCGATTTATAATCAGGCTTTGCTATATATGGTCAGACGATGTTATGCGCATATATACAGTCTCATCAGCTCGAGCGAGGCAAGTTACCCTGTCGTAGTTATAGGCTATTTCTAACAGTCTCCCGAATATCTAGCCCGTCAGCGAAGCACTGACACCAGTCTTCAATCAATTGCAAACAGTGCGGCGTTGTCTCAAGGAGGTCCAGAAATTTGGTATTCAAGATGACAGAGAATTGTACCCATACAGCATGAAGGTACGTAAAGCCCTTAACCAACTTCACTTCAGAGCAAAGAGTGCGCCATTATTAGTGCTCTAGCCTAACTGGCTGGGTGACATTAGTTGGCTTCAATCGAGAACATGAGGGCAGATGGCAGGTTCATGGTCGGGAACGATATCCCAGAAGGTCAAGGAAGGGTCAATTCGTTGTTGGCCGAATGCTTCGAAATCTGCCATGATCTTAGAACGAGCTGTCAAAATGCAGGAGACTAGGATGATATTAACGCCTACTCTATATGCACTCCAGAGGATTGAAGTTCACTTCTGGCTCACTGCCTTTTGTTTTATCCGGGTTCGAGTCTGGATCATCAAGATGATAACGTTTGTATGGATATCAGGCGCAATAATTTAAGGGCATGGTTATTAATTGAGCTTTGGTATATACAATATTGATTGGCAAAGCTCGGCTTTGTTTTTTCTTTGCGTATCGCGATATCCAAGGGGATCAAGTTGTGAGACTGGTACTGTGCTCGTGCAATGCCGGAGCACTCGGGCCGAGCCCACCTGATATTCGTATTTACTGGTGCTCTCTTGCCGTTGCTTGTTTGCTTGACTGCCATTGCTTGAACATGTATGGTTGTGGTCAAGTGACTAATCAAAAGTCTTGGTGATCACGTGATTTCCTCTTATTTCTCTTATTAAGTTAAATCACGCCATTACTATGCCATTCCCGTTATCACTCCACTATCGGTTAAATTAAAGCCTCTGCTACTGAAGTCGGCGGAATTAGTCATAGGTCACGTGAATTTGGATGTGATTGATCAACTTGCTTTTCCTCCCACAAAACGTCAACAATGGTTAAGTCTAAAGTTATGCCGGACCTTTCCAGTTCAAGTCTTTCATATCTCTCATCTCCCTTCCAATGCCTCCTTTTGACTTAGACAGGTGTTTATTAGTATAATGGATATGCCTATCTAATTTCATAGAGCTGCTTCAGTATTATATTTGTTGGCAGGAAAAAGGAAGATCAAAAAAAACCAAATTCTGAAACTCCAACTACATATAGTATTATATATTTGCTATGAAGTTATTGAAAGAGTTGATATATTATCTCAAAATTGCCAACAACTTGCAAATATTATATCTTATTCCACAAAGAAGCTTATTGTCAGACAAAGACAACCTGTATAGACTTAGAGATGTCCAGGTAAATTAAGACTTGTTTCTGTAGACTGAGATTTGTCTAGAAGTGATTGAGGGTTACTTATTTTGTTTATAACTAAAAAGAATAAAGGTAAGGTAGAATAACCTCATGTAAATAATATTATATTATTCAGGACTCCTTTCCACTATTTAATGGTATCTAAATGCTTAGGAGGCATTTCAATATTTATATCCTTTATCTGAGTCTTCGCGGACTACTCCTACCTCTAATACAGATTATATACCTATCGCATTATGACTCACAACCTTGTGTATTCTCCCAGAATGCTAACACTCAGAGACTCTAAAAACCAGCACAATCTCCTTGGTAATTACTATTTTACTTCATTGAAGGATTTATTATTTCCAATAGTAATTACCTGATCCTCAGAGTTATCAGACTAATAGCCTAGTTTTCAAGTCAAACTATGTTACCCCCAATTGTCTTCTCCATTAATGAAATAATCAGTTTCATCTAGAGTTTATGTTTTACAAGAGTAGTTGTATATGCAACTTTCCTAGGTGACCAACTTCAAATCTCAATAACTCCTGATTCAACTAACCAATATCTTGCAGATTACTTTCTACTGATTCACAGGAGACCATTCTACCAGACTGGTAAATAATCCCACTGTTGGTAACTCTGCTAAGTCATGTATGTAATCTTCTTAAGTCACCAACTTGGAATCTTGATAACTCCTGATTCAATTGACAGATTCCTTAGAGATTCCATCCTACTGATTTGCAGGAGACTACTTTCCCGGCGTGGAAAATAATCGCTCAGTCAGCCTCTCTTGTGCATTATTCTGGGAGTTGTAAAGGTGTAGTTTGTATTGGTTGAAACTACCTCACTACGTAAAATAACTTTTACGACTGGAGGAGTTAAACATGTGACTTTTTGTGAGAGATTATGTGATATTCCAATCAAGTAACGCAACTGAGATTGATATGTGTGATGACATGGAAGTCTAATGAGGGAGTCAGAGGAGCGTGTTAGAGATCAGAGATTCTGATTCTGAGTTGGTTGACTCGACTCAGGATAGTTCCTGTGTATCAGATCCTGGTACTCAGAATATGATCTCCTTTCTTTTAAGCTTCACCTCGAATGCCTTCTTGGCTACAATTTAAACAATTAAAAAGTAAATTGTAAAAAAGTAAATATTAAATATTGATTCCATTAGAACTCAACAAAGGTAGGGTAATCCTCCTGCGTTTACTTGGCCATGGAAGGAAAACCTTTATCTTATCATCCTTCTTATGCCAGCCGTAGCATTTTTAGATTATTGTGATGAAATTCTTCCACCATGTCCCCCTCATTATCCATACCCGTTGCAGCCTTCCAGGTGTTCTTATCTTTAGAACAAGCTTGCTATTTTACTAAGTACCATAGCTTATGTCATTCTTGATAGTAACTACTTACTGTCTTTCTGTAAGAGTTTATTTCACTTGTTCTGATTTTTTCTATTCCACATTATAAGTTGCCCTTAATATCTGTAAGCTCAATACATAGTTGTCATTGGTCTATGTGTACAGACTACCTGTAAGATGCAAACAGTAACACATGAAAGACTGGACATACATGCCAACGATCCAAAATGTTAAGCTTGAATGCAATACTACCTTGTTTTTCTAAGATACTGCTTTCAATGCACTGCGAGCGCGGAGCTCGCGCCGG